CACCCCCGTGCACCTGCTGCTCCTTCCCCATGCCTCCCCTCCCCCTGCACCTGCTCCCCCCCCGGCCCTCCTCCCCCTCCACCCCTGCTGCCCTCCCACCCCTGCTACTCACCCCCCCCGCCCACCTGTGCCCACAGGGTGAGTGGGGGGGCATGCCTGCCAAGTTCACAGGTCAGCTGGGGGTGTAGGCTCTGGAGACAGACAAGGGACAGGACAGAATGACTGCACTTCAGAGGGCAAGAGCCTCAGAGAAAACAGAATTGCGTGGCATGGTCAGGGACGAACAGGTCCCTCCTGGTTTTCTGTCGCTGCCCTAATCAGTTACCACAAATGGAGCAGCTTCACCCCAGAATGTGTCACCTTGGAGTGAATGGGTCAGGAAGGTGAGGAGGCCCCAGGCTCAGCCCCACTGCGGGCCAGCTGCTGCCCTGGGACCACCGTCCCCCGCCAGAGGGTTGCAGGGCCGAGGGCCGCTCCCAGCTCCTGGGGCCGCCTGCGTCCCTGGCAGGCGGCCCCTCCCCTGTCACATCCCGCAAGGCAGCAAGGCAGGGTGAGCCCTTCCCACGGCCTCTCTGACCCACCTGCCCCCTCCCACTTTCCGGAACACACGATTCCCTTGGGGGCAGCCGCCTCACCTGCGCTCTCACCGCCTGCACCGTCCATTGCCTCTGCGAGGCCCCTGGGGCCACACGTCACCTCCACAGGTGGGGACAGGGGCCGCTGCGTGCACACCGCAGCAGCTACCCTGCGTGGGCACTCAGGGCCGGGGTCCCCCAGGTTCCGTGCACTTGGACAAGGACCCGGCTGCGACACAGGCCAGGCGGAAGCCGGGAAGACGTTCCTGGCGAAGGGCACCAAGGGTCCAGCTCCCCTGTCTGTACGACCCAGGCCTGGCCTGGGGGCTGAAGGCAGCCAGCACACTGGGCACCCAAACGGGGGCTGTGGGCCTGGTGCAGGGTGCCCTCCGGCTGTGTGGAAAGGGCAGTCGGAACCATTAAAGATTTTAAACACGAGAATGACATGATCTGATTTATATTTTTTAAAGATCACTCTGTTATTTGACATTTGAAATGATATTTGAGATGTGTCTTGAGAGTACAGGTAGGATTTAGACAGATGGGGGGGTGAGACGTGTGCTTCAGGTACGGAGAGCTGGGACGCAGGCCTGCCAGCGGGACACGAGAGAGACACAGCATGTGAGGGAGGGAGGGGGCAGGGCCGGAGGGACCGGGGAGGGGGGTACCGGGCCGAGGGAGCAGGGCCAGGGGACCCCCAGGACAGAGGGAGCAGGGACAGAAGGACTAGGGGGGCCCGGGCAGAGGGGGCAGGGCCAGAGGGACTGAGGGGATCCCAGGCAGAGGGGGCAGGGCTGGGAAGACTCGGGGTGGGGGGGGGGGTAGGGGAGGAGGGAGCAGTCCCGGGGGACCCCCCCCCCCCGGACAGAGGGAGCAGGGACAGAAGGACTAAGGGGGCCTAGGCAGAGGGGGCAGGGCCAGAGGGACTGGGGGGACCCCAGGCAGAGGGGGCAAGGCCAGGAAGACTGGCAGGGGGGGGCGGGCGGAGGGGGCAGGGCCGGAAGGACCGGGTGGAGGGGTCCTGGGGCAGCGCAGGGTCCTCCAGGGATGTCGGGTCGGGGGTACGCAGATGGGCGTGCCTCTCTGATCCTTAACAAGTGATCGACGGCACTGAAGGGCCCGGCCGGCAGCCTCCTTACATCATCATTAGATGCCATTAAAGAATCAATAATGGGAAGAAGGGGGTCTCTGCGGAAGGTCAGAGCTGGGTTGCACTTGAGGGGCCTGCTCAGGGCGCACTGATCTGCTCACCGGGTCTCTGCGTAACTAGAGGATTCTGGGGGAAACGCCTTCACTCAGAAATCTTGACGATAAATGCAACCCCCTTCCTCCCCCCCGCCCCCCGCCGCTTACATTTTTTATGTTTCCTGTTTCCAACACGGGAAATCCTAGCTCCGCAAGTCGGCTGCTGGCAGGTGGCCGCAGGGGTCCCAGGGAGGCAGCAGGGCGCGTGCAGGGCACCCGGGGCTGCCGGGCCCGCAGGCCCCAGGCGGGTGCAGGAGGAGGAGGGCCCGTGAGAAGGACCACCCCGTGTGTCTCTGCCTGTCGGTGTGAAACACTGGGGCACGCGCATGTTCTGAGCCTCGTCAGCAATCCAAAATGTGCGCCCGGGTTGGAACCGAGTATCGTGGGGACTCGTTAAACCAGTAAAGTGGAAACTAGAGAGAGAAACAGTCAAATGACAATTGGACATCCGCCTCTTTAAGCCGTGCCCTCTCTGCACACGGTGTCAAGGGCACGCACAGCCTCGTGTGGTCCCCCAGAATGACTCCAGCTCGCTGCGGGTGTCAGCCAGCAGGCCCCGCGACACCCACCTCCGATCAAGTCCTCCGCGGTGATGCATAGGCTTCTACGTATTTCTTGGAGCTGTTTAAGCCTTAAATTAAACGAGCAATCCAGTGTGTTGCAGCGTCTCAGGGAGTTCTGCACCTGCCTGGCCTGGGAACGTACTGGCTGGCACAGGGCCCGTCTCTCTTACTAAACGGAAGGAAGGAGAAATGAGTCACGACGGACCCGGTCCTCAGTAGACAAAGAGGTATTTTAACCCTCCTTTCCTTCCAAATACACAGACAACACAGCGTCCTTGGCGAGGGGCGTCGGGCCCCGGCCCCGCGGGGCGGCTCTAACTGGCCTCCTTCCCAGGAAGGGGGGACGCACTCGCTCTGCCCTGGGCTGCCGGCTCCCCGTCCTGGGCGGCGAACGAGTGTCCAGAGCAGACTCTGCGATTCTAGTTTCGGCCGCACTAATCCACCCTCCGCACCTGGGGGCCCTTTGTCCTCCCTGCCCCCCCCCCCCCCAGCGCCTCCCCCAGCACCCGGGGCCAGTAAACACATCTCCGGCCCTAAGTGTGAACAAAAGCGCAGCGGTGTTAGGATGCAAAAAGGGGGAGGCAGACACGGGGCAGGCGTCTACAGGATCGGCCACGTGCGGACTAAACTGTGCTCTACACGGTGACCAGCTCAGAGGTGGCTGGGCATAGAATTCTGCACGACCCTGCCAGGCCACGCCAGGAACACAGGGATCGACCAACGGCAGGGAGCCCCCGAGCTCCTGGCTGACGTCAGGCTCGGGATCCTGCCACCTGAACTCCCGGGATGTGGCCCGTCTCCACTCTGGTGCGGTGGCTTTCACAGAGTGGACGCACAGGGTCATATTAGTTTCAGGCGGACGTACGGGGATCGCACAACTGCACACAATCCCCAGCATCCCGCACCGTGAGCCTAGCTGCCATCCGTCATTACACGACGTTATCACAACATTACTGCCTGTGTTTCCTATGCTGTTCTTTTTTATCCCCGTGACTTCTTGATTTTGTAACTGGAAATTTAGACCTCCTTAATTCCACTCTTAAAAAGGATGCCAGGTCTGTTTCCCCTGTGCACTGCAGGTGGGCACATAAGGTGGTGCAGCCTCTGTGGAAAAGTATGGAAGTTCCTGGAGAAAATAAACACAGAGACGCCACCATCCACGCAGCAAGCGTACTTCAAAGAACTGAAGGCGGGGTCTTGAAGAGACACTGGCACACCAGCGTTCACGCTGGCATTATTAACAATAGCGAGGGGCGCCTGGGTGGCTCAGTCGGTTGAGCTTCCGACTTCGGCTCAGGTCATGGTCTTGCAGTCTGTGAGTTCGAGCCCCGCATCGGGCTCCGTGTTGACAGCTCAGAGCCCGGAGCCTGCTTCCGATTCTGTGTCTCCCTCTCTCTCTGCCCCTCCCCCACTCACGCTCTGTCTCTCTCTCAAAAATAAATAAGCATTAAAAAAAATTTTTTTTAAATAGCGAAACTAGAGGCAACCCAAGTGCCCGTTGTGGAAGTAAAGGAATAAAGGAAATGTGGCCCGTCCGTAGGATGGAGTATTACTCAGCCTTAAAAAGGAAGGAAATTCTGACACCTGCTCCAATATGGATGAACCTTCCAGACAGCACAGTAAGGGAGACACACCTTTCGCAAGAAGACAAATGCGGTATAATTCTCCCCACAGGAGGTACCCAGAGCGGTCAGATTCATCGAGGCACAAAGTAGGTGGTGGGGGCCGGGGCTGGGGGAGGGGCTCGGGGGGGGGTCACGCTTGGTGGGGACCAAGCTTCAGTTCTGCAGCACGAAGGGTCAGGCGGAAGCCGGTGATGTCGGCTGCACAGCAGTGTGAACGTGCTCGCTCCGCCAAACCGTGCGTCCAAAAATGGGTAGAGCGGGGGGTTCTGTGGTGTGTGCTCTACTGTGACGAACAGACTCGCAGAAAGGGAAAGGACAAGAAGGCCGGGTCTCACGGCAGAACCTCGCGCTCTCTGAATCCTGCTCTTACGGGGCCTCCGGACACACGCCGTGACAGAGCGGAGGCCCGAGGTCAGGCCCCGGGCCCGCCACCGGTTCGGAGCAATCTCGGACCGGCTTCGGTTTCCTCCTGCGCAAAACCGGTGAGAACCCCAGCTACCGTGCTGGCCTACGAGCGAGGGCCGCCGCGTGTGAGAACGACCGCTATGCGCCCAGGCTGGAGGGACACGCACGGCCAAGCCCACCGCTGCCTTCTCTCACGTTAAAGGACGGTGAAGCGTCCCGGCTGTCGCACCACCCGCTCCAGCTGCCAGATGGAGCCCCACGTGGGGACGGCAGCCTGCCAGCGGCCGCCGCGGAGCCACGCGCAAAGGAGGAGCCAGCTCTTCATCGGCTCGCCGTCGGGAAACCTCACCACGGCGTGTCTGTGAAGGGCCTTTTCGTGCAAGTTCCCAGGACTTTAAAAAAAGAAATCTGACCCAGGAAGCCTGGCAAATGGCCGATGAGCACCCGAAGGGATCGTCACCGTCACCAGCCAGCAGAGAAATGTGAACCAACCCACGGTGAGAAACCACGGCTCGTCCCCCGGGATAGCTGTTACTCAAAACAGGGAACATAACAAGTTGTCGAGGGCGCGGGACAATTGGACAGTCACATAGGGCTGGCGGGAACACGGATGGTGCAGCCGCTTCAGCACACATTCCGGCAGCTTCTGAAACTATTAAGCATATACTGACTGTACGGCCAGCAATTGCACACCTAAGTCTTTACCCTGGGGCCCCTGGGGGGCTCAGTCAGTTAAGCATCCGACTTTGGCTTCTTTCATGATCTCGAAGTCTGTGAGTTCGAGCCCCGCGTCTGGCTCTGTGCTGAAAGCTGGGAGCCTGGAGCCCAGAGCCTGCTTCGGATTCTGTGTCTCCCTCTCTCTCTGCCCCTCCCCTGCTCGCACTCCGTGGACGGGAGGAGTGGTGGGGGCAATGCTGAGCCCAGGGGCCGGGGCAGCACATCTCCAAGAGGTAGCAGTGACATCTGGGGGTCTGGAGGGATGACGGGCGGTCGATGACAGGCGTTAGAGGCGAGGCACGAAGAGAGAGTGGCCCGCTTCCCTGTCACCTGTGTCATCTCCTTGGATCTTCTGCTCCGGACGACCTGAGCGCGAGCTCCTTCCAGCTCTGTGTCCAGCTGTGCGCCCAGCCGTGAGGCGGAGGTGGCTTTGTGCCGCGGGAAGCGTGCCTGGGACGGGCAGACGCCGTCCCGTAAGTTACAGAGGGAGGAGCTCTGTCCACATGAAGGTTGTGTGTAGGCTGGAAGAGCCCGGGTGTGGGACTCACAGGGGCGCCGAACAGAGGAGGACGGCCCGATCTGGGAGTTCACGGTGCTCCCGGGAGCCTGGGACCGCGAACGGCACGTCACACAGCCTCTAACCTGGTGGAGCCAGGGCCGGGCCCAACCGCGTGTCCTTCCAGCGACACGAAGCACCAGAGAGGGAACCGGGTCCTCTCCACCTTGCTCCCCCGGGCCGCTGCCCGGATGCTAGTGCACACGCTGGCCCACGGCTCCCGGGCCATGTCGGTCTCTGGGCCCAGGGCACTGGGTGTTCGCCAGTGTTCATTCGCTCACGGGTACTCTCCCGCCACCGCCTGGAGCCACCCGCCCCACGCTGAACAGCACCTGGAAGCCTGACTCTTTTCTTTCTTTTTAAATGTTTTCAATGTTTATTTATTTTTGAGAGAGAGAAAGAGGCAGAGCATGAGCGGCACAGAGCCGTCGGCACAGAGCCCGACGCGGGGCTGGAACTCACGGAGTGTGAGATCAGGCCATGAGCCGAAGTCAAACGCTCAACCGACGGAGCCACCCAGGCGCCCCCTGCCTCTCCTCTTGCCCCGTGGTGACTCTTTGGTGTCAGCAGGACAGATGCGTCCTGTTCTCCTCCCAGGATCCCAGATGCCTGCTAACCTGCCCGCACCTCTGAAACCACAACAGGCCGCGCACAGACTCAGACACGGCTGTGCACCGCTCGCCTCGGCCACGGCCCCGGACGCTGTGCCTGCGGCCCTCGAGATCCCGCTCCGACGGCCGCCCGCCATCTGCGCTTTCGGCCCCAGGCGGGTGGGCCGAGCCGTCCGTCACACACCACGGCAACACACAGCGGCCGGGCACAGGAGCCGAGGCCGCCCCGAGACCCTGGGGCTGGGGACTCCGGGCAGGGCTCACAGGACAGCCCTCCAGCACGCGGGGGTCCGGGCAGCAGGTCGGGGACGGCTCCCCCCATGTGTGCGGTGCTGACGGCGGCCGTCC